ATTATGATGATTATCAAACATTGATCATTTTCTTTTGTCTTGATAATCAAAGCGTAACAAATTAAAAAGAGAAATATTGATGACCTCTTGCATTAATTTTAATGAGTTTCTCATATTCAATCGCAACATGTTCACATAAATAGTGAAGTATTGATTTGTCTCTCGGAAGTTATACTGTTGGTCAAAGTTATTTTACATAAACTGAATACTAAATTATTATCTAATAGTCAGTGATACTAATATCAAAATATATGTTTATAGTTAATTTTGTATTTAAATAACGTACATATAATCTTTAAAGAAATATTATAAATGATTATAATTCGACTCAGATCAGATTAAGGGTGTGGGTGCGGATGTGGGTGTGGGTGTTCATCTGCTCTTCATCCACATCGACACCCACACCCACACCCCACCCTCTATCGTTGAAAAAGAAACGATCTTAGTATTCATGGTCTGTGATATCGATTACACGATATGACCTACAAAATTATGTGCGCACCGATCAAGCATACTTTTAAACGTAACAGGGGCTATGTTTCAACCTTTTTAGAGACCCACCTAATAATACTTTTTGACATGCACAAATGTATTTCAGATAAATGTTCCTGTTTTATTAAATACAAATACTCGTCAAAAGATATTTCACGTACCTTTCGATGTTATTAGACGTTTTATTACCAGACATTTGTTTATCTGAACTAAGAATATTATAACAACATCTGCAATGTATGTGAGGTAGACTGATATGAAAATCATCGGATCTCGATAAATCATTGACGGAGAAAAAATCGATCAAAATCGTTTCAAAATAAAGTAAACACCCTGTAATAATATTTGGTAGTATTCATGGAATCTTAAACTTCTTGTTTTAGGTACCGACTAATATTGATATCCTACGTGCAGTTCAGCAATCGGCTGCATTATATAAAGAAGAAGCAATGAAAATGAAAGCACTTGCTATGGCTCAACAAGAAGAAAATGAACAGCTTCAACAGATGGAAACAGAGAAAAAAAAATTATCAGAACAAGAACAAGAACTTATGTTAAAATATAAAAAACTTCAATCGGAACACAAAACAACTCAATTACTACTTGATGAAGGAAATCAACGTATAGAAAGCTCATTGAAAAAAGAAGATTTCAATGATTTACATGCTGCTTATGCATTGAATAAAAGTGGAATCGAAAAGCTCAAAGTCGTCGACGAAGAGATGACGAAGATTATGGAAGACGTTTCAGCAATTCAACAAAAACATGTTCAAGCTGAACGTGAGAAACCAAACAAGAAATGTAAGTTCACTGTAGAACCAGTGTTAACCCGAGACTAAAACACCTATAGTAATTAATATTTGCGTTTATGCTACTGTACAGTCATATAACTTTTTTGTGATAGTTACTTTTTTTGATTTTCATTTTTTACCTTTTTGTTCTAAGTGATTGCTTGTTCAGGGTTTTGTTTGAAATTTATGAATAAACATTTGTTGAAATTTTATTAAATATTTTATTACACTCTTTACAAAGTACTAATGAGCTTGAATTTGCATAGGATTTCTTTTTCACGAGAAAACAAAAATCCTCCTTTTTTCCTCCTTTTTTATGTCAGATCCTCCTAAAAATTTTCAATGAAAATCCTCTCTATTCCTCCTTTTTTGGAACATAGCGTTGACATGCCAGCTTCTTCAAATCAGACATACATAGTGATGCATTAATATATATCTTATTTTCTACGAAAAACAAAAAAAGTGTCTTTTATATATTTTCATATGAGAAAAAATCAACTAATATGATCATGAGATTTAAAGTATTTGGTTAAGAATTGAATAAATCGAGAATGC